TGTCATTGTGTTCATGGAACAAAGTCTGTGTGATTTAAATTCTTCGACATTTGTCGAAGTTCCTCCTATGGCCCAGGATATGATCTACCTTAGTAAATGTTACATGGCTACTTGAAAAGAATGCTGTCGTTGGGTGGAGTGGTCTGTAGGGTCAATTAGCTCTTGTTGGTTGATGGTATTGTTGAGTTTTATTATTCTCACTGAATTTTTGTCCAGTTGTTTCATTTATTGTTCAGAGTGAGGTGCTGAAGTCTCCAAGTATAACTGTGAATTTGTCTAGTTCTCCCTTAAATTCTATCAGAGTTTGCTTCACTTATTTGTGACTCATTTGTTTTGTACATACTCATTTAGGATTGCTATGGCTTCTCTGTGGATTAACACTATAATCATTATTTAATGATTCTCTTTGTCTCTCATAGTATTTTGAAAAATTTATTTCAGTAGATTTAACGATACCCATGGTTCTTTGTCACATAGATGAATTGGATAGTGCTGATGTCAAGGCTTTCAGTGTTTCCATCAAGGAATACCTAGCACTATAATTTTTGTGCTGAAGTTTACTTTATCTGACATTGTAGCCTTTTGTGCTTTCTTTGATAAATAATTGCATCATTTTTTTCTATTCTTCTATTTCAACCTTCCACTGTTGTATTTAAAGTGTATCTACGTATATAGATAATATACATATGATATAATTTTTTCCACTCTGACACTTGTCTTTTTGATGATTTAGAAGATTGTTGTGTAATGTAATTATTAGTATATTAAGGCTTGTGTCTGCCATATTGCCTTTTGTTTTCTGTTGTTTTCTCTGTTTTTCCATCTCTCTTTTCTTTTTCTACTTTTCTATTGGTTACTTAAACACATTTTGGAATTCCAAATTTTTGACCTATTGTGTTTTTTAGTGTATCTCACTGTACAGTTTTTGTGATTTATCTAAGTATTACATTACATTACAAATACATAACTTATCAAAGTCCACTGTTGTTGATGTTTCACCAATCTGAGTAAAATGTAGACACTTTACCTCTTTAAGTCCCTTTATCCTCCCCCATTTATAATACATTTGTCTTAAATAGTTTCTCTACCTGCAGCAAAACCCACATCTGACAATGTCATAATTTTTGTCTCAATCATCAAATTTATTTAAAAAATTGAAGAAGAGAAGTCTATTGTATTTGGCCATATTTTAACTTGTTCTATTGTTTGTTCTTTTCCCCTGATGTTCCAAGATTTCTTCCAGTATCATTTCTATACCAATTCAAGTATGTCTTTAGGCCACTGTTTTAGAGTAGATCTACCAACATCAAATTCTCTTGCTTTTCCTTCCTCTAAGAATGTCATGATAGCCACTTTATTCCATAATATTTTTACTAGATATATATTTTAGGTTTATGTTTTCTTTCAGCAACTGAAAAATCTCATGCCACTTGTTTCTGGACTTCATAATTTCTGATGAGAAATCTACTGTCACTTCATTAACTCTTTCCCCTGTACATGAGATGTCATTTCTTTCTTTTTACTCTCAAGATATTTTTGACATCAATTTATTTGGATTTATTTTCTTTGGAGTTCTCACACCTTGAATCTTTAAATTTAAGTCTTTTGCCAAATTTGGGGAATATTTAGTCAATATTCCTTGAAACATTCTTTCAGCATCACCCATTTCTCATTTCCTTCTGGGATTCCAATGACATGAATTTAATGTCTTTTGCTATAGTCACACAGATTCTTCAGCATGAAATAATAATAAATAGTATGAAAACCATCACAAAAACAGATTTGTGTTTTATGAGTAAATTACTCAAATGTACCATGTACTAAGCTGACAAATAATAAAAAATATGAAGAGTTCCTCATCTAATCAAGAAAGTAAATCTATTCTGTATAACTTTCCCACAACAAAAACCCAGATTCATCTCATTTCAGTAATTATTTTAAAATGTTTAAGGAAGAAACAACACTAAAAGTTCTAGAAGGAGAATCAGCTGTCAGAGAAGAGTAGAAACACATTATATGGGGACCTCTATAGATTTCAATCCATCACATAGGTCCATAGGGCTATTTAATACTTTGCTGGTTTCTCCTTACCCCATCACTATCTCCTTTTCTGTGCCAGGCCCATGTCAAGATTCAGCAGATGACCCTAGGGATAAGTGAGTCCCTGTTCACCTAAGCAGAATTTGTCCATCTCTGGAATTTAGAATTTGGAAGCTTCCTTTCATCTATGGCTTTTTGGAGTCTTTAAAGATAAGATTCTTTTCTAATTTATCCATTTAGTTTAGTTTATACATTTTTTGGTTTTTATAGTGACAGTAATAATTCTTGTAATTTTCTATGTACTTACTGACATTATGATTGATGATTTTTTTCCAGTCCATGCTTCATTCATTTAAAACACAATATATTATTCCTTTGTATGGCTATGCCACAATTTACCTTTCCTCTGTCTAGAAATTCAGAATATTTCTTTCCTCTTCTATTACAGTTTTCATACATTATCTTGGACATATATATGAGAGTTCATCTAGATGTATAATGGCTACAGTGAAAGTACTGAATTATTCAAACTACCTAAGGGGTATAACAATATGTGCTCATATTGCCGTACACAGTACTCAAATGTCACCTTGCAGTATGCTGTCACTTCAAATATTTTATAGTTTTCTGATGTACAGAATTTCTATAATCAAGACTAATTTATCAGTTTGTCTTTTAGAAATTTTATTATTCCAAATCCTACTGCAACAAACAGCCAGTTTTGTGTCCTTGAGCACATGTAAGATTGATTTGTTGAGAATTTTACATATGTTTCAAAGTTTTCCTGGGCCTCCCAAATTTCTTTTAATTTTATTTTCTCCATGCAAAGAAATTTATAATTTTATTCAAATACTTTTTATTTGTGTCTTCTGGATTTTCGGTCTTGCTTAGGGAACTTTAGTTTTTAAAAAAGAATTATTTTATTACGGCTTTTTCTTCCATTCTTGAGATACCTTGCTAAGAAGAATATGTTCCAGCTCCATCCGTGTAAACATAAAAGAAGTAAAGTCTCCATCTTTTTTAAGGTTGCATAATATTCCATGGTGTACATATACCACAATTTATTAATCCACTTGTGGATCAATAGGCACTTAGGCTTCCTTTCACAAGGGTACATGTTAAATCTATTAAGTGTAGAATATAAATGTCTTAACACAATAACTAAGAAAATGAGGTGAAGGCTATGTTAACTAGTTTGATGAAAAAATTTCAAATTGTATATAAAACCAGCACATTGTACCCCATAATTGCCTTAATGTACACAGCTATGATTTAATAAAAAAGAATTATTTTAGTAGGTTTATTAAGACATAATTTATATACCACAAAATTTACTCACTGAATATTTAAAATTCAATGATTTTATTAAATTAACATGTACAACTGCCATCACAATCCAACTTTAGAACATTTCTATCACCTCCAAAATTTTTCTATTTATAGTTTATTCTCATCCCTACCCTAAGCCCTAGGCACCTGCTGATCTGCTTTCTGTGTTTATAAAGGTGCCTATTCTAGACATTCATGTAAATGAAATCATGACATGTGGTCTTTTGTGTCTGTTTCCTTCACTTAGTGTAAGTTTTTGTAGCATGTGTATCATCATTTTGTTACTTTTTATTTCTTTTCTCCTTTTTGTGTAAAGGAGTTTTGTGTATCCCACTTGTGTGGGGTACAAGTGTACTTTTGTTACACACATAGATTGAGTGTGGTGGTGAAGTCAGGGCTTTTAGAGTATCCATCACCCAAACAACGTGCACTGTACATTAAATAATTAAATAATCTCTTCTCTCCCGGGAGTGCAGGGGACAAGCTTTGCTCTGGGGGAACCACCTTCATGATCACAGTGTCTCCCCTGCCAGATAAGTATATATTTTTGTTTCTTTCCATTGTTGAATAGCATTATATGTATAAATATAGCACATTTTGTTTAGCCATTCACTAATTGAAGGATATTTGGATTGTTTCCACTTTGGGTCTATTATGGCTCATGCTGTGGCCATTTGTACACATATCTTTGATAGATTCCAAGGAGTGAAACTCCTGGATCACATGACAAATGTATATTAATCTTTTAAAGAAATTCCTAAATTGTTGTTCAAAGTACTCTCACCAGCAATTCATTAGGGCTTAGTAAGTCTATTTGTCTTCTGACATAATTATGATGATAGTAAGAGAAATAATTATGTTTTATTAATTCTATACTTTCATGTTTCAATTTTATTCACCAGTGATCCATTTTGTTGAAAGTTATGAATTTGGAATATACCATACTAACAATTAAAACTCTCCACTTATCTTAAGCTAAATCTCAGCTGTTTGAGATTATAATTCTGGACTCTATTCTACTGGTGTATTGTATTTATCAACAATGGATCAGTACGGTCCCCGAGTGTATTTACTAAGATAGGTGTATACTATATTTCAGCATCCTATAGAGCTAGTTATCCCTTATTATGCTTCTTTTTTTTCAATACTTTCCCTAGAAAGTACATTTTCCTCACAAAAATTACATATCAGCATACCGCATTAAATTCATTTTGTTTGCTTTTCTGTTTTATTGTAATTTTATTAATGGCTGGAATTTAATATACAAATTAGTTTTAAAAAAAGACTCAGAACCTTAAACTGAGAACACCTATCAAGAATCTATAAGCCTAGGCAGGTGTCTACAGTCCCAGCTACTCGGGAGGGTGAGGCAAGAGGATGGCTTGAGCCCAAGAGTTTAAGGTTGCTATGAGCTATGATGCCATGGCACTTACTCAGGGCAACAGAATAAGATTCAATCTAAAATAATAATAATAATAATAACTTATAAGCCTTCATGGGGAAATTTACTAAAACACTAACAACTTGGTGATCTGTAAATGAAAACCACTATCGTATTAGAACATGATTTTCCCTTTCTCTTTCCTATTTCTTGTCCTTGAGCTATATGAGGCACATAATTTTTCACTCAATGTTTATTTGAGAAAAATTTAATAAAGTAATTTGACATAAGGTCACTGCAGTTGCATGGGAGGCAACAGGGCTGGGTACAAAGGGGATGGGAAAGAATGGTGATAAGGTGCTGAGCTAATACTGGGACTTCCAGGCCAAGGGCATGGGCTGAGGAGTCATCAGGGAGGACATTGGTCTGCAGGGTCTCTAAACAGGAGCAAACAAAGTCCTGAGAAAGCACTGTCTGTGAGGAAGAACAGAAGCCAAGCAGGAAACCTTTTCATGCTGCGAAGCTGGAACAGAAGTTTCCTCCCTGAGTGTCACCATCTTCACTTCAGCTCAGGAGTCCTGCAGGAGACAGAGGAGAGTGTTGTTTTCAGGCTCTACTAATAGCTTCCTTTCCCCTCTTGCAGGGCCTCATGTGAGAGAACCACAGGAAGAAAAAAATAATATTAAGTCTTCCTGAGCAAGTGCTACCTCAGAGCACAGGACTTTCATTAAGCGGAGAGCAGCTTTACTGTGAGCTGCCTGAGAAGAAATTCAGATCCGAACTGTTTCCCATTACTTGTCTCGTGTCTTGTCACCTTTACCATTGTTCTAAAGAAACCGAATCTGTCTCTAAATAAGAATTAAAGGGCATTACCTGTTGGCTGAAGTCCAGAGTGTCCTGGGAAAGAGAGGGAAAGGTACATACTTAAAAAATAGGGAATCAAATTTGTCCCCAAATACAATGTCCCCAGTCCCAGATCTCCCACGTGAGATTTCTCTAATAACACAACCCACACCAGGGAGGGCTGAGAGGGGAGCAGAAACTGAGAGCTTGTGACTCATGAAGCGTCTGTCACACAGACCCTGTGTAATGTCATTAGCCTTTGTGGTTCTCCTTTCATCTGCCCCCCGGATCTCCACACATTAACCTTTCTCACATCTCTGCTGGCCATGAGCCCTTATGCTTTGACATAGTAACCAGGATTTGCTAATTTTAGGATTTCCAGGAAATCTGAGCTCAACTGTGGAAAGAAAGGCTTTGTACCAGGCCACTGATCCACTGGGAACCAGCCTCAGCAAACCCTTATTTCTTCCTCCAGAAAAGCCCTTGGAGAGACTCAGCTACAGCAGGTTCCTCACCTTTCTGATTCCTGAAGTAGATGAACAGTCCTGCCCCAAGGAAGAGCAGACCCAGAACAAACCCCCCGACTCCACTCAGCATCTTGCTCTGTGCAGATTCAGACTGTGCTCCTGAGAGAAGAAGCCAGGGTTAGTGATTTTTATCCCCAATCCAACTTCTCTAATTGAGACCCTGTGATTCAGAGCTTTGAGAATGGGGGAAGAAGTTTGCTTTGGAAGAACCAAAATACTTGTTCATTTCTGGAAAAGAGATTTCAAAATCCTACTCAGTAGCTACAAGGTTCAGGCATTGAACTCATTCAAACATTACTGCCCTGCCCTGAAGCATGACTTCAACATCTGACAAAGAAATAGCCCAGGATTCAGTGAGTTCAAACAACTCATCTAGAGTGACAGAGCTAATAAGAGGCAGAGCTGAGACTGGATTCCCCTTCCATGAGGAAGCCCCTACATTGCTCCTCTTCTCAGATCTCCAGGAACAACTCAGAGCAACATGCCAGCCCCAGGGCCAAGAGGGTGACCACTACCTGTGACATCTTGCCTGACAGACAAGATTACTTCCCCAGGATGTATAAGTAGTGTCTGGAAACTACCACAGAGCTCCCCCAGTGACCTGTGCTAAAGGAGAGGAAAGCAAAGAACAAATGAAAATAAGATGTGGGAGTGGAGAAACAGGGATAAGCAAAGACCCTTCTTGGTGGATAAAAAAACTATGAGGTTAGGAAGTTGCTCACTCCATTCCACTGTGACAGGATTCATCAGGCTCGGATGCTCCACTTGGCAGGTGTAAACCTCTCCACTCTGAGGAACTATTTCAAGCATCACCAGGGTCTGGAAGGTCCAGTCTCCATTCTGAATCAGGCCTGTGGAGACCACCCCAGCCTTCTCTTCCTGGTCATTCCGGAACCACTTGACTTCAATCTTGCCTGGGTAGAAACCATGCACAGAGCAGACCAGGAGGTTGTGGTGCTGCAGGGGCTGGGTCTTTGCAGGATACACAGTCACCTTAGGCTCCCCTAGGAGAAAAGGTAGAGGGATAAGTGAGGAAGACATGGTGAGTCTCCCTGGTTGGCTGTTTCTGCCTCTCTCCAAACCCAGGCTTTGGTCACAGGCAGGCTTCCAGCAAAGCTACCATGTGATCTAACAATGTCATGAGACTTGAATTTGATCTCTACAGCAGGGACTTATTAGATGTCAGAGATGTTGAGGAAAATTGTGTTTGTTTTGTTCATAGCTTGAAACTGTTATTATTGACTTGAAAATCTTTGCAAAGCATATAGTGTATTAATTAACAGTGTGATTCCCAGAGCCAGGCTGCCTGGTTCAGATCCAGGCTCCTACTGGTTGATCCTGGGGAAGTTTCTCAATTCTTCTGTGCCTCAACTTTGTCAGCGCTAATGAAGGCTAATAATACTAATTTCTCTCATGGGATTATTGAGGATCAATGCACCTAGAATATATAAAACATAGACTAAGTGCAGCCTTCAACTGCACTTATGTTAGCTATTGTGCTTGTTTACTATGAGAGAAAGCAGTATGGATAGACTGTGGGACAGGGTAGGGGAGATGGGGACATGGAGTATGAAACTTTAGGAGTGCTACCTCCATGTGCTCACACCTTAGAACACCACAGAAATGGTTCTACCTCCAGGAAGGAGGAATAGAAAGAAGTGATGCTCTCTTTGTGAACTGAGCCTTTAGAAAAGCATGAGTCCTAAAAGAGAGAGAAAGGAGTAAGGAAAGGCATTCAGTTAAAAAAAAGTTGTTATATTTATATTCAGCTGATCAACCTGTCTCCATTGTTAGATAAGCATCATTATTATTAGAGCTATTATTTTTGCATATATATTGACTGATTGTAATTATTGCTCTAAGAAACATGTATGCAAAATGTTCAAGAGCCTTAGAAATCAAAGAAGTATAAATTAAAAAGATAAATTTTCAACTGTTAGGCAACGTTGTAAAAAATCAACAAAAGGGAATGTGAGCCACGTTGTGTCAGAATTCTATGAAGTAATAATATGTAACTACATAAATACTGTTAGCATTGCTACAAAATGGTAACAGTATGTTGAACAAATTGTAATTCCAATTGCTAGATCCCCAATAATTTCAACTACAGTCTATAAAAATGTATACACTAGGAAAAAAACAGGAAGAATTTAGAACTGAAAGAAGCTTCAGAAAGGTCACAGTTGTCTCAGGAGTCTCCTCACTGTGAAAATTAGTCTAACACCTTCCGTGAACCACCTGCTCACACAGACTCTGCACCCCTTCATTTCGGGGGTGTCAGGGCTATGAAGGGCGTGTGCGGACAGTCTGGCCCAGATCAGCCTCCTCGCGTCACCCCAACTCTTCTCCTTTGAATACTCAGCCCAACCCCGGGTACGTCACGTTTCCCTCGCCGGTTTCTCTCAGGGCCCCCACAGTCAAGGTCCCCTCCGGCCTCCCACCGCCGCCACCTCCCGTCACTACTCCCGCCGGGTCCATCAGGAGCAGCCCCGACCCTCCTGCCTCCCCGCACCCCAGCCGCTCACAGGAGGCGCCCAAAGCTGACTCTCGCTCTCCCGCACTCTCCCTCCGTCTCTCACACACCCCGCGCTCACCTCGCCGGGGCACCAGGAAGCGGTCGAAGATCTCGTAGTTGTGCCTGCACACCGTGTCCACCTCGGCCCGCTTCTGCTCCAGGACGTCCTTCTGGCTGTTCCAGTACTCGGCGTCCGGCCGCCCCAGCTCCGTCACCGCCCGGTACTTCCCCACGTCGCTGTCGAAGCGCGCGTACTCCTCCCGGTTGTAGATGTTTCTGACCAGTAACCGCACCTTCTCGGTCCCGTTGTGGAAATGGCACTCACCCTTAAACTGCACCAAGAAACGCGCTGTGGGGACAGGAAGAACCCGGTCACGCGGCGGCCTCCTGAGAAGACGCCGACAGCTACCCCAGCGGTCCCGGCCCTTGGGGCGGGGTGGGGGCGCCAGGACGGGCTCGGGGTCCTGCGGGCTCCTGTCCCCTCTGCCGGGCCGAGCGACGGGGACAGGGGGAACCCACCCGACCCGGAATGTGACCTTGAGCTGTGGGGGATCGGCGCGCCTTCGCCCCCAAACCGCCGCCCCGCCCCGTCCTCCTCCCGGTTCCCAAACCCCCCCAGTCCCGCTCAGCCCTGGAGCGTGTCGGGTCCCCCGAATCAACCCCCGGCCCCCGCCATTTTAGCTGCTGCGGGGTCACAGTGACAGTACAATCCCTTGGGACTGAGGGACGGCAAAGGAGAAATCGGTGGTGGGTGACAGAATAGCGGGGTTGTCTGAGTCGCGTCCGGGTGTCCGAGAGGGGCTCCGGAAAGAGGGACCGGAAGATGTGGGGGACGGGGTGGGGGTGGCGGACAGAGCGGGGCGCGTTGGCACGGAGGGGACGCCGGTGTCGGGTGAGGGCGAAGCACGAGCAGAAGCTGAGAGAATTGATGCGCTTCTAACAAATACAAGAAGAAAGTTCGGGGAAGCGCGGGGTGAGGGAGCGGGGAGGGTGTGAAATCAGACCCAAGAAATCACAGCAAGAGGAAAAGAGGGCGCTTAGGAAAAAAGCCGCGGGCGGTGTTAGCATCTTGGCTTTAAACTGATAATGTTGAAGGACACTGAAACCATAATTCCAGTACAGGTCTACAAATCCCTTTTTGTTTTTCTAAATCCAGAAAGCACAGACAACGGTGCTTTTTAAAAACCAACGGTGGTTTTTAAATTTAGTGCCAAGACTCATTTGGCAAATCTGACCTGAAGATGAAGGGGTCAAAGGTGTCTCTGAGCTTTCATTGGCCACATGTGCTTTTGTAGCTTCAGTATATGTGTAAATAATGCATATGTACACATTCTGTATTTTTTCTTTATGTTAAGTCAAACTGTGCAAATGCGAGACAGTTAATCTCTGTGATTAATAAGTTAGATTAATACATGTCCATGCCCACCTCCGCCCACTTCTGCTCCATCTTGCATTATCAGTATTACAGTATGTAGAATTATTGCAGAAATCTGATGCATTATACTGAAAATACTTGCCCCAGTCAGCACTACTTATGACTTATAATGGCAAGTTAGTGAAAGTTAATAGTGATGACCAAGAACTCATTTCCAACCAGATAATTTTTGGTTGGGGAGGAAACTGTCTACCCCTGTCCCTGGCCTTTGTTCATTAAATGTCAGAAGAAACCCCTGGTGTGACAACTGACAATGGCTTTAGACTGTGCCAAAGTTTCCCAGGGGAGGGGAGAAGGGAAAAGGGGAAAGAGGAAAGAAGGGAGGGAGGAAGGTAACTATCCCTTGTGAGAACCACTGGTGTAAACCCTCTGAAAGATCTGTGCAGAAAAAGCCATGAATTACGGAGCTGCTGGCGGGGACCCTGTGGCTTAAAGGAGTAGGGTGCCAACCCCATATGCTGGAGGTAGCAGGTTCAAACCCAGCCCTGGCCAAACAAACAAACAAACGAACAAAAAAAGAAATTATGGAGCTTCTGAGAATTACAATGAAAAAATCAGCCAGTTTTACATCTGTTAAAAGTCTTATTTCTACATAAAAATTACATTTTTAAAGAATCTGGTCCCATGGTAAAACTATTTTTACCAATAAAATAAATTTGTTTAGAATCAAGGTTGATTTCTTTGCCTTGCCAATCAGTCATCAAGTCATATAATTTATCTTTTCCATCATCTTCCTTCGTAATTTCTCTGCCACTGGTCTGCTAATTACTTATCTGTAGTGATAAACTACAGCCACAGCCATTTTATTCCTGTTCCAGGCCCCAACTAAGTCATTTTCTAACTTTCAATCTCCTGCTCTCAGCAATACAAGTAGGCATCAAATTACCAGCTTTGGCCAGATGTAGATCTCTCATTTCTGTAGTCAAGTCCCCTCAAAAGGGGAGAAACTAAGAATGACATTTTCATAGAAACAGTTTACAAAAAATGAGCAGGGCCCTGTACTTTGTGGAGGTAATGGCAGAGAAGAGGGCTCCCTGGATCAGACAAGGCCTTCTCTAGGTACCTTCTTCACAGATGAGAAAATGAAAAAATAAAAATATGTGAACTTGCTGTCACTAGAGTGACATGCTCATGTACCCAACTTAGAGTTGCCAGATTTAGCAAATAAAAATATGGATGCTCTGTTAATTTGCATTTCAAATAAATTATTGTTTATCTGAAGTTCAGATCTCACTGGGCATCCTATATTTTATTTGATAGCACTAACCCAACTTGCTAGCAAAACCTCAGAAGAAAAAGTGAATTTCATACTTCTTTGTGTTCTTCAACACAAGCCCATGACAGTCTGCACATAGCATGAACCCATATGGAACTTTTCAAATAATAAATGAAAAATGAATTAAGGTTTTTCCTGTATATTGGAACTAGCATCCCTTGCATCTCTCTCATATCCTAAAACACACCTTGGCACATCTGAACATCAGGAATTCTATTGGTAGAATTCACATTCATTCACTAATGGTAGTTAGAATATCAGGCCCTAAAGTCAGAAAATATGAATTTAGCCATGACCTTTTCTACTTAGGTTAATTTTTCACAACCATGAACTTTTTTCTTTATCTATAAAATGGACTTAATATTAGCATATTTCTCATGAGATTATTAGTAAGTGTAAAAGCAAGTAGTAACTCTTCTTAGTGCTGATCACACAATACACTCAAATGTATATTTCCATTTTAATTTGTATAATCCCTGTAAATGCAAGCTTACATTATCTTTCTGTTTCTTAGCCCCTTAAGCAAATGATACCATGATTTGACAATTGTCTTCTATTAATTTTATCACTAATTATCTTTTTGAACACATAAGGGCCCAGACATTGGTTATATATAACAATACAATATCTAAACCTAACACAAAAAGAATGGGCTGACATAGACAAGAGGGACTTTCTATATACTCACATGGCAATCTTGTTTCTACCTCTAACTTTGTGAACAGGGTAAGTTACTTACACGTTTGAATTTTAGATTCTGCAGATGTGTTTATTTTTAAGTGCAACAGATAAGATAGTTATTGGAAGTGCATACCAAAACTCACAGGTCTGGTATACAGTCACTGCAATATTCCATGCTAATAGAGATCAAATTTATTTTGTTTATAACTCCATTTTCTTTCTTTCTTTTTTGAGACAGAGTCTCACTATGTTGCCCTCCATAGAATGCCGTGGCATCATAGCTTATAATAACCTCAAACTCTTGGGCTTAAGTGATTCTCTTGCCTCAGCCTCCCAAGTAGCTGGGACTACAGGTGCCCACCACAACACCCTGTTATTTTGTTGTTGTTGTTGTTATTGTTGTCATTGTTTATCTGGCCTGGGCTGGGTTCAAAGTTGCCATGCTGGGTGCATGTGGCTGGCATCCTATATACTTACATGGCAATCTATACTCACATTTTCATCACCTTGAATAACATCTGATATTTTCTAAGTCACTAATAAGTATTGGCTGTATGAATTAATGACCTTTTGCATATCCCATCATCCCTGTATCCAAGGGCCATGCAGCACTTCCTTGCTAATGCCTCAATGTCTCAAGTCCACCCACTTCTCTTCAGCTTCTTTATTCTTTTCCTTTAGGACCATCTGGACCATCTGGCTTTCTGATCCCAGAGCACACTCCATTCCTGAGGCCAGCTACTCAAAAGAGTCAACTGTAATCCTGCCTTCACTTCTAATTGCCCTACAGACAGTCCATTCAGTTTCCATCTTGTATACTGCATTGACAGCAAATGTCAAGTCCACCAACCCCAGTGCTCACTTCTCTCTCATGTTATCACTTCACCCACTTAGTGGTACTCACCACAACTGGCCATTCACTTGCCCTGAAAAAAATCTGTTTTTCTTGACTTGCACACATCATGTTCTCTTGGTTTTTCTTCAGCATCACTGGGACTCCTTGTCAGTTCCTTTTTTGCAGCCCTTTGGGCCACTAGCTTGGCCCTCCAACCTCTTCTCTTTTCCTACACACAATCTATTTCCCTATGTAACCTATTATATTTTTCTGGAATTTAACACAGTACATGGGTGGATGATGCCATCATACCACCAGCCCTGGCCTCACCCTGAACTCTAGTCTCTTATATTCAACTGATCTCCCAATGGCTTCACATAAATGTCAAAAAAATCACCTCAAACTTAAACAAAGCATGTATTGCTAACCACCTCCCACATTCTTCCCTATATCAATAAAAAGTATCACCATCCACCTATTTATTAAGACAAAATCCATAGAAATGAGATTGATTTTATACTCCACTTACATTTAATCCATTCACAAGTTATGCAAAAACTTACTCTGAATATGTCCACTTCATCTTTGTCACTGTCCTTATCACTACTACACTAAATGAAGCCACAAGCCTATCTTCGCTGGGGAATTCTGCTGTGCTCCTAAAAAGTCTCCACAAGTCTGCTTGTAATCCCCAACTATACAATTATTTTTTTAATTGAGTATAAATTGACTTTCCTTGTAATGTCCCAGTAGCTTCCTAGGTCTGTTTAACTATAATTCAAATTTCTTGCCCGAGCCATCAGGGCCTACTTCAATGAGGCTCGTGGCTTCCTTGCCATCATCCTTCATCTCATGCCACTTCAACCCTTTGCTAGATACACATCAGCCCCTCCAGCTTTCTTTCTGTCTCTTAAACACAGTATACATCTTCCTCACTTTGGCCTTTCCCCTGTTCCATCTCCCTGGAACTCTTATCCCTTACAATTTCACAAGACTGTCTTCTCAGTATTCTTATCTCAGGGAAATGTAACTTTTTTAGGGAGAACTCACTAACCACCTGAACTGAAATTGGGTGAATCCAACACTCTCTGCCCGCATCACCCTGTTATCTTTCTTCAGAGAACGTAATGCTGTATGAAATTTTCTATTTTATTGAATATTTATTGGGTTATTTTCTGTCTTCTCTGATAGGTAAGTTCCATTAGAGCAAGAACCTTTTCTATCTTATTTAAATAGAATTCTCTGAGCCTAGAACAGAGCCTAACCATAACAGTTGCTCAGAAAAATATTTGGGCCTAAATTAATAACCTAGGGTTCTGGGAATTGATCATTGTGGGGATCTTAGAAAGCAAGAAGGGGTCAAGCTCCAACACTCTTTTATTGTGATGACACACTAAACCCCTTCCACTCCCTGTGAGAAATTCAGGCAAACTTCCTCTTTCTCCTCCTTCAAGTGGAAGGAAGAGTCACAGGTGAGGAAATGGTGTTTTAGGGAAGAGAAAATTTTTAAATAAGTTTCATCTCTTTTGAGGGATCTCATAGCACTTAGAGTCTATGAAAACTTTAGGGATTTTCAGTAATGCTGATGGCATAGCTAGGGGAAAAAATAGAGAAAATAGGTTCTCTCCTAGATGGTCCTATGTTATGTCCTGGAGGTAGAGATAGCCAGACATGACTAGTAATAGAAAAGAGAAAGCATGATGAGTAAACTTGAATTTGTGAAATTTGGAATAAGACACCAGTAGAACAATAAACTCACTTACCTTGCTTATTGACTTTCAGCCCTATAGGATGAAACCTTAAAACCTCATTTTCTCTATAACCTCACTCAAGGCATATAGTTTGAAATTTCAGATGAAATTGTCAATATGTGACTATTTTTTGAGTTATTGCCATTTGGGGAAAAATGAAAGGGGCCAATAGGAGAGGCCTTTGATACACATACATTTTCATACATCAGGGAGAGACACCAACACCACAGATGCTGTCAGAGACATGACACAGGATCTTCCAGGATACACCCTCTGAATTGCTTTTGACTACCCATACAATTTTCAGAGGAACCTCCCTTTTTTCTAGTATAACTTAGGGAATTTATTTTAACAGCATTATTTTTAAAACTTCTCAAGACCCTGAGGAAATGTGATACAGGCTGAAGAGGTCTTACTGAAGATTTGAGAAGACACACGTCTCATAGGAAAGGCAAGTAGCCAGGCTCCTTTTGTTTTGGAAATAACTTGGGAACCATATGATAAAGATAGGTGGTCCCTGAAGAAAATGTCACAATTTTTTAAGGAACATGACCTGGGCACAGAGACAAAGTTAACTCCCTTTCTTCCCCAACCCCCAATAGCCCAGCATCCAAAGTGGGCACTTACGCCGTGTGTCCTTAGCCAAAGCGAGGGGAGGGCTCAGCACCATCAGTACCACTGTCAGAGCTGCCATCCAGGAGCCCCCAGGGAACCACAGACGCACCATGAGGAGAACAGGAAAGGACAGATGCTAGAGGCAAGTCTCACTCAATAGGAACTATGACCATCCTCCACCCAAACCCCAAATCATAGAGACCAAGGTATTCATCTCTTTGCTCCTTGATTGGGTAATCTCAGTGGGAGAGAACCAATCAGCATCAAAGGTGAATAGCATCAGCAGTTACTAGTCAGAGATTCTGTATGAAGAGCCTCTTTCTGAAACTTAGATTTTTCTTCATTAAAGGATTGTTTTAATTTAGTACTTTAAAGGTTTAATCTAGTTCCATCTGAAACACTTTACTATTGTAAAATGAGTCTATTGTAAGCCAGTCTGTGGCTAGTCAGTGATGTGTTCACAAGTTTGAGCCTTGTAGAAACAATCATCTCCCACTTTGAGACACACACATGCACGCACTTCAGACAAGTGTGTGTGTGTGTAGAAGAAAAGGGATGGAGGGAACATGACTGCAAGTCAGGAGACCTATAATCTGGTCCTTATCACACCATAATTTAGTGTTTTATATTTGAAAAAATTACTTAACCTCACACAGTTGAAATGAAGGCCCTGTGATCTTTCAGATATTTTAATACTGGAAAGTGGTGTGATTCTGAGGATAGCTCAAGAAGCAGCATCCCCTGGTAACTGATGATATGACAGAATTATGGCTGTTAATTGGAGAATATACTTGGTACCTCTTTAGAGGTAGAGAGGTCTCTGATAAACTAAAGGAAATTGAATGGTAGTTAATAATTTAATCTGAGTAAACAGTTTTTCAAGTTTGTCTCCTGAGGCTTTCACCAAGTTTGATGACAACTCCAGAACACACACAGGCAAGGGTCTTAGAGGAAGCCACATATGTGGAATGCAGAAACTTGAAGGTACCTTGGCGTAGTACTTAACCAAACAATGTGATAAGGCCAGCTGTCCAAATCAAAATATGCAGTGTAGGCTCGGCGCCTATAGCTCAACCGGCTAAGGCGCCAGCCATGTACACCTAAGGTGGCGGGTTCAAATCCCCAGCCTGGACCCGCCAAACAACAATAATGGCTGCAACCAAAAAATAGCTGGGCGTTGTGGCGGGCGCCTGTGGTCCCAGCTACTTGGGAGGCAGAGGCAGGAGACTCGCTTGAGCCCAGGAGTTGGAGATTGCTGTGAGCTGTGATGCCATGGCACTCTACCCAGGGGGACAGCTTGAGGCTCTGTCTCAAAAAAAAAAAAAAAAAAAATATGCAGTGTAGAGATAAGCACCCCATGGTCAGACATGGCAGTTCGCTTCAATGTGCTCCCCCAGGAGAATGATTCTGAGAAAGATTTCTTCAAAGATCGAGCTTCTGCACCTGCCTATAGATATGCAGATATGCAGAAATATGCAGAAAGACTCTCTTAAGAAGAGATCAGGAGAATCAGGCCGGGGTCACAGCTGGAAGCTCGAACACATGTCCTGTTCTCTGTCTTCTTCCTTCATTAACATTATAATCTCTAGTTTTGGTTTGGGCCACAAGAACAGTCAGTCTCCTTTATGTTTTTACTCTAAACAAATCAATTGTATATGTGTTCCTCAGCCTTCACACTGAATTGTAATCTTAATGGTAGCTTCCTAATGTTACTTCACTTCTTTGTATCTGTGTTAAATTCTTACTGAATGTTTAAAAGTATATAAGATAATCAGTAAAGTCAGGCCTGATCACTGACCTGAGCGAGTCTCGACCTCCCTTCAAATCAATCATCTCATCTGCAGTTCCTTTTCCCTGCGTCTCTAATCAGAGGCTCCAAGAACACCTTCATCGCAGGGAGTTGAGAGTTTGATAAAGGACTCAAAGTCAGCCTTTGACACAACTCTGCTTTGAAATAATTAATATTTTATGTTTGCAAGTGTTCAGTCCCTTAATCCTGGTTCTTATTATGTTTTCCTCATTTTATTGAGGCTGTGCCCTTCTCTCCTTTTATCTGAAGGAAAGATATAAGAAGACTTTGCTAATGAGTTAATTGCATAGTGTTCACAAAAGAGAATGCTATAGAAAAAACTATGAGTTAATCGTTCAATGTAATCCTACAATTTTAAACATGTAATCTACTTTTAAATAATTATTATATTACACAGTAGATTAATATGTGATGTCTCAGATTCAGGATGGACTTTAAAGGACAAGTATATGCATGAAGTTCTGCATTAATTACATTCTACCACAATGATGATAAGCAGCCATTCTTTATGTGCCTTCCTATTTCTATTAACAGGACAGTCATCATGCTACAATAAATGATTGAAATTATTGAGTGATTTTTGAGCATTTTATTTTCTACTCAGAATTGTATTAAGGGCTTTCTATACATCATATCTTTGTTTAATTCTCACATAAGTCCAATGAGATAAATATATTTTCTTCCCTATAAATGGAGAGAGTAAAAATGATGGAGATTAAGTAAATTCTGCAAGGATGCAAGGCCACTCAATCACACTGAACCAAGTTACATGTGATTCCAAACTCCTCAAGCTCACCCATTATATCATAACTACTTCCCATTCAATTTCTAAAGAGAATAATGTCCCTTACATTAAAATTATTTTTATCACTTTAATTCATGAATATGCATATCAAAAGACTACTCTTTTAATGAATGGCAGAATTTTATATGATTTGGGGGCAGACAGTATATAACAATTCTAGTTCCTTCAAAAGATTCCCCTCATCACTACAGTTACCCTCCTCTGGAAATGACAAAATTTGCATTTATCTTATGCATTGACACCTTTGTCTTCTGTACAAATCTCTTTCTTATTAAAGATAACAATGGCTTCAAAATTCCCAAATCCAATGCATTGCTCTCAATCATTATTTCAGATTTCTCAGCACAGTGTAGTACAAGCTTGATCATCTTGCAATAGGAGTAATCTCTCACATTAGGAAAGTGATAATACATTTTTATTAATGTTAAAAGTTCAAAGAAATTTTTAAGAGATTGGGTATAAGTTACTGTAGTTCTTAGATTAGAGAATAAACTATGTCCCTATATCCTATTGATAGTTCACACTATTAGAAACTGTACAGTTGTAATTAAATATGATATTATAGGAAAATCTCATATATATATGTATATATATTTGATCTTGAATACATTTATGCATATGTGGGATACAATTGTGTTGATTTTTCTTATACAATCTGATGTGGTTACATCAAACCAATCAACATAGCTTTCCCCTCATTTACTTGATTATTGTGTTAAGACATTTATGTTCTACACGTGACAGCTTTTACTTGTACCCTTGCAATATACTCCATAGGTGTGGTCCCGCCTTTTACCCTCCCTCTATCAAGCCTCCCCTCTCCCCTCCCTTCCCACTCCATTTGTCTCCTTCATCCTGGGCTATAGTTGTGTTTTATCTTTCATAACAAAGTGTGGAGAATATCATACTTAATTCAACAAACAGAAAATGATAATTTACTCAGAAACTAACTAATTGTGATATGTGGTAATCTAGGAAAGCCAAGCTAAGGTTCATCTCAGTATTATAGGACAAAAGAATGGCAAAAAAGTAGTAATTCTACATCAAGAATATACTGAAATAATGAAGAGAACACTTTCAAAACTCATTCCTATAAATTTGACATGCAATTTACAAATCATGCAAATTTGTAAAGAATGGTCAACAACTATGAACTAAATGTTGTATACATTTATGGTAACAAAGATGTCTTAATCTGTTTGTGCTATTGTAACAAAATACCATAGGCTGGGTAATTTTAAAGAAAAGACATTTATTTCTCATGGTTCTGGAAACTGGATAATTCAAGATCAGGATGCTGCAGATTCAATGTCAGGCAAGAGACATGGCATCTTCTAAGATGGTGCCTTGCTGCTGTAACCTCCTAGGGGAGAACACTATCTTCACATGGCAGAAAGCAGAAGGGCAAGAGAGTAAATGCTGTGTGAAGTCTTTATTATAAAGGTCATGATTCCATTCATTAGGGAGGAACCCTCATGACTTAATCACCTTTCAAAGGCCTCACCCCTCAATACTACCACCTGAGCTTTGGAGAGGATACATTCAAACTGTAGTAGTGCTTCTTTAGATATTGTACAGGGTGTCCATAAAGTTCATGTGCAGTTTAAAATAGTTAACTATTTTAACTGTATTTCACAAATTTCTTCATTATTAATTCAATGTCAGGATAGCTCAGGTATCCTTTTGGTAGCAACTGTCACCAAATCACTACTCTTCCAGGTCAAGTGATCTCTAGGTTGAACTTCTTCACTGAAAGCAACAGACCAGTCCTCTCAACCTCTGTCATGTGTGAGAGGGGTCAAATAAGAACTTAGTTCCTCAGGGAATCAGTCCTGAAGGCAATTGGTTCTACCAGCTAGGAAAAATAAATAGCAGCTATTTTGTTTTTCTTCCAGTTAAAATTCTTTAACTCTCAACATTTCCTCCAACGCTAACTATTGCTGACACAAATTGCAACATCATTAATCTGGACTATGGCTTTATAGCCATGTAACTTCAGACCATCAAAAACAAACTTGTTGTGCTCCCATGTAGGCAATTCAGTGACATGTTTACCTAGATGGCCTTCTAAGAGTACTCTAGTTGTTTTCTTAATTAGTTCAAGACAAAGTCAGTACCATGATAAATATTTAAACTGTTAAGTGAGCTAGATGGATTCAAGGATGTTCAAGTGATTCATAAAATATTGACAGAAATTTGCGGCATCTAATATTGATTGGAACACCTCTGACAGATCACTGTTAGAATATCACCTATGAAATCTGAAAATAAAACTTCTCTTGAACTTCTCTAAAGTGAAGTGAATACTCAAACTCTCCACAGGTTTCCTTATACCAAGGTACCAGCTAAGTCAGTAATAGGAGGCTTCTTCAACTTCTGAATATCATTCAGCTTACCTATGTTATCTGGTATTTTCATAGTAGCAGATGTGGCAACTGTGAAAAAAAAGCCATTAAACTCAAAGGTAATTTGTTACCAGTAATCATTAAAGTACCATCCCCCAAACAGGAGCCATGAGCCATCCAGTGGCACAAAAAGCCTGCTATATAGGCTTATCCTACAGCCATG